CCGGACACGCTCCGCGCGGGCATAGGATGCCACGGATTCTCGAAGCCGCTGCGCAGGTGAGAGCCAGGATAACTCACGAGGCGAAAAAAGCGATCAGGATGATCTTTGGGTTATGTATCACAGTGCTCCATCTGTTCTTGGGGGCCACGCCGGCCTCCTGGTCCACGGTTCGGTCTGACATGTTGCCCTGCACCATAAAAGGGTGCGAAGCAGAATCCACAGGTGAGATATACGAGATGACAAAGCTCGAAAAGATGAGCAGGAACCGCTGTGTCGGGTCACTCAGGGTAGGCTACAGTCCTTATAAACGGCCGAAGTAGAGCCAGCGTCGGCCGCCGACTCCGCGCGCCGCCGCCGCCCATCAGCAAGCAGGGGTCATGCAAGATTTTTCTTCCTCTCCTCTCCGCCCGCCCTCTCGAGGACGGCACTTCCATGCACGCCCGGGTAACGGGTGGTAACCGGGCCCGCCCATCGTCACCCGCGTCAGATTTGCGGTATGTGGTGTGGTGGTGTACGTTATGGAAATAACCCCGGACCCAAAAACCGGCGTGAGGGGAGAAGGCGCTGATTGGTGCCTCCGACCTTTCGTCCCCGCGGGTCCCCCACCTTCTCCTCTCCCCCACATATTGTTCCCCATCCGAACCGCCGCCGCGTGCGGCCATCCTGCCCCCCTGCAGATAGAGGCAGCGGCTAGCCGGTGTGTGGTTCGAGGCCATCACCGCCTTTGCTCCCGGGCTCGACTTCTGGGGAGGTCACAACAGCAGCGCAGTAGAGGCAGATGGAACGGGGAGCTGGATCGCGTCCGTTGGCGCTGTATTCCCGTGGCAGTCGCCAAGCCGGAGAGAGGCGCTCATGAGTCGCAACATGGCGTCTTCTCGGGAATGGAAATAGACTCTTCCACCCTAGTGGGGGCATCCGCCAACGAAACGAGCCCGCAAATTTCGCAGGCCCGTCTCAACTCTCCGTCCGGTGAGCAGAGCAGACGCGCGATCCGTCGGGGAACAGGGGCATGAGCGAGAGGGCCTGGAACGGTGGCCCAGAAAGGACGCCGAAGAGAAGGCACACGACCCAAGCGGATCCGGATGGGGATACCGGCCGGGTCCAGGGCCCCGCCCGTCATCACGCGGCCACGCGAGAAAGGAATTGAGAGACGACAAGAAAAAGGGCCGTCGGGTGTTTGCGGTAACTCCGCCTAGGTTTTCGGCCAGCACGCGACGAGCAGAATTTGAACCTAGGCTCCGCAGCGGGGCCAGCCGTGCATCGGGAAGGAACATGAGCCTTTGTGCCTGACCGGCCGGAGAGAATGCCGTGAACCGGAGGGTTGCTATAGGGAACCCATAAGACCGCTTCGTTCTTGTCGGCTTCTTCTCTGCGTCCCTGATTTGGCGTGCAAGGTTACTACATCCCACGCCCTGACTCTCCACCGACCACCACGCGTCAATGGGGATTGATCAACTTGACCCGGCTAGCTGGTACCGGGTTTCAGAGATGGTATTAAAGCAATCAAAAGCCCACCTCGAAATTCGTTAGAATTCCACCAAGCCCTTTGCCAAGTCTTGTCTGCCGAGAACAAGCTCCGTGAGGCTAGGAGCCTCACCCAAATCTAACCCAGTTGGGACCTCTGATGTCATATCGCGACACCGCCCAATCTGGTCTGCCCCCAAGGACTGGGGCTGCCGAGGCAGAGACGAAATGCGATCCCAAACTTGGCAGGGGCTTGATCAGATCTCGAGCTTGAGCTCTCACCCACGAATATGCCAGCAGCCCGATTCTTATTCTTTTGGAGCACTCAATCGTCCGGGTAAATACCCAGTAGGCTTACAGAATCTGCCCTGTTGCTTGATATCGTGATATAGACCCCAAGCGACATCCCAAAAGTGGGACAAAGGGGATACGCGAACGAGGGAAACTGATGAGGTCAGGCACGCGGTACCGCAACATCGAAATTGACGCCCTATGACACTCAGAGAAGTCTGAACAAAACATCAGCACAGGTCTATTAACATGCAATTGCAATACAAGGAGCCGACAGTGGTCAGAACCCTTCCATGAGCTCCCCACGATTTTCCCAAAACTCCCAAAACGCCTCCAGCATTTCGCCATACATTCAGTGTATTCGTCTGCACCAAACATCATGTCCCAAGTAGGGTCCCCAGCTTTCCCGTGCACACCCAAGCCTTCTTGGAAGTGATTCGCGCATGAGAGTGGTAGCTGCTTCATGCGCCTCCACGGGGTTTGGCCTTTGCCTTTGCTTTCTCCTTCTTCTCGGCCTTGATCCTCTTCTTCGTCTCCTCTGCCTTGACTTCGAGCTTGCGCTTGTGCTCCTTTTGCTGCTCCTCTGTACGCGCGACGGGCTTGAAGAAGCCCTCGAGCCGCTGCTGTTGTGACGTCTTGAGATTCTTCTCGAGGCGCGCGGCACCTGAACGGACCCGGTCCTCGGAAAAGCCCTTCTCCGTCACCAGGAAATTGATCAGGCCATCGATATCGGGCTTCTCCCACTTGAAGTCGCAATCCGGGTGGTCAGCCGGCCGAACGTCCGGGTTGAAGAAGAGGTCCCTGGCATCCTCAAATGGCCAGTCGTCTGGCACCGTGTACTTGAGGTCACCCTTCTTCATCTTTTCCACAATCGTCTCCAGTGAACCGTGCTCGCGGATCAGCTTCAGAGCCGTAGTCGGTCCAACTTTGGGAATCGGGTCGAGGTAGTCGCAGCCGAGGAGAATACATAGGTCGACAAACTAAGGACCGGGCATATTCTTGTCAGCGATCTCGTCACTCCTGGAGTAGTATCCATGATAACGCCAGTCTAGATGCGTACCTGTTTCCGCTCCATGTTCAGGCCCTCGAGCACCTTGTCGACGTGGATCTCCAGGATGGGCTCCTTGCGCTGCTCCGAAAATGTCAGGTGGCGCAGAAGGACGGGCGAGTCAAAGCACAGCGTGTCCATGTCCTCGCTGGCGGCAGCAAACACCTTGCCGGCGCGGGCGAGGGCGGCGCATTGGGCCTCGGCCTCGGTGGGCGCGACGATGTAGGGGATGCCCATGAGCTTGAGGAGGCGCCGGCACTCCTCGTTGTGCTCGCGGGTGACGTGGACGGTGCGGCGCGAGAACTTCTCGACTTCCTCGGCCGTGCCCGTCTCGCGCGCCTCCTCGAGGCCCTCGAGCGCCTCCTGCTTGCGCTGGTATCGCCGTGCGAGCTCTCCCGACTTGAGCTTTGGCGGGGCGCCGTCGAAGACGTAGAGCGGCTTGATACCGTTGTCGACCATGCGGAGCGTGCGGTAAAACATGCCCATTAGGTGCGACGTCGTCTGCCCGTCCTCGTTCGTCAGAACCTCGCCATTTGACCTGACCGCGATCAGGAACGAATATATGCTCATGGATCTGTAGCGGTTGCGGTTGGTGTCAGCTTTGCATGGGCGACGGGCGCATCTGCGGGGGCAGAGAAGGTTGGTCCATACGCATCCTGCGAGGAGAGTGATTGTCAGTGTATGCGATTCTTGATGCGATTTATCCCCATGTTGATTGAGTGCTTACAATGGCGACTTTGCGGCCAAAGTGGTTCTTGATTTCTCCCGATTTGACCGCATCCGGAGCATTCTCCTTGATGATGCTGAAGAGTTGCTTAATACCCATATTGCTAGGAGGTGGTCAGGCCGAGTCCAAAGCAAGATAAGTCAGCGGGAACTATGCACGGCGGATCTCCGCGATTGTTGCGAGACTTTCTGTATATCCGGTTTCTGGTCATTCGTGGGAGTTGAGGGTGTGCAAGCGGATCGTGATGTCACGGTAACCGGAAGCGCACTTCATCCGCGCCGAAAACGCGCCTGCCAAATTTCACGAACCAGACGCGACCTGAAGTGGGGTCACGTGGGCGCGTCTTAATGGATTGAGCCCCGCTCAGTCTAAGTTCCAGCCTCCAACCCACTCGATGATGAGCAAGATCAGATGCGATACCCGTAGAAAGGACAGGCCGCTCAAATACCGATGCATTTATACAAACCCGGGCACTTCGTGGGCCAGCCGAAAATGCTTTGAAAACAGGCTACTCATAGCACAATGATTCTGCGCCATCAAAGTCTCGGCTGGAGGCAGACCTTCCTCCCAGCATCATATGTGCACGAGCGACGCAGGCATGGAACCGCATATTTAAGAATATTCAGCATGGAAACAACCCCTACGTGACTCCATCTCAACCATGGTCTCGCCGCCGACATATTCCTTTCTTCAAAGGGGCGCTTGGCGGGCTTCGGACGGACGAGCTAGAGAGCCGTCAAACCATAGGGTCGGGTCGCCAGTCACGGATATTTGAAAGGATCAGAAGGCCCCCCAGCGAGGCAGGATTTGGCAGGCCTCTCGCGGCTGCACAAAATCTCCGCCAATGGGGATATTGGGAGGCTTTGGTTCAAAAGATGCATGTCCGGCTTGGCAAAATTGAAGTGGGAGAAGGAATCTGAACGTTAGCTAGCGCCTTGTAATGGCAGCAGGGAAATTGGCTTCGACGAACCCATGGTGATTAGCTAGCAAGTGCTCGCGCTCGCTCGCTCACTCTGGAAGAAATTCGTCCGCGATTCACAGAATGTGGGGGAAGAAATACTAGGCAAGATCGGGTTTGAGTGCCAGAGCGGCGACAGCCCGCTCACCACTCGACCAAATGACAAGGAAGCGAAATAGGGCTACTGTCTCCCAGACTCGCGTATCACATATGCGTGTGCACAGCTTTGATACACCAATCCATTGGTGTTTAGGTAGGAAGCGAGGCGAGATTGCTAGAGGCCACAGAACGAGTGTGTGAGAAGAATGGAGGGCAGAAAAAGCCCCCTGCCAATTCTACCCATGAAGTGAGCATGCAACACACAAAGATAATAAAGCCCAAGAGCCGACTGTGGGATCTCCGAGCGGGAAGGATCAAGAGATGGCAAAAAGGAGAAATCGAACGGTTTTGACATCAGACGTTTCCGCTCCACGACTGTTCGCGTTTCGGGCCTCTGGGTTGCGTCCGTCGTGGAAACACGAATCTGGCCGGGGCAAAATACCCAAGCGGAGCCAACCCCTGGAATCGACTAAAGATAACCCAATCCTTAGGGTAAAAGGACACCCACTCGTGGCTGCCAAGACATTGAATATCACCTGCGAACGGCACAAAAGGCCACCGGAGGACTCGGTGACACTAGAGGAGCCGGAGAGAAATAACGAGCCTACTGGGAAGCATTCTAGAACACAAAGACATTAGGCTAGAGAACGAGCATCTGTACGAAAAGTCGCGGTAACAAGGAATCATTCCCCCGGTGGTAATCTAATACTAAGTTGCTCTATATGGGTGGTCGCTAAATGCAATGTATAAATATCGCAAGAGAGAAGCATTTGGTGGTCAAGTAGAGACGGGCCACCGGTGAGTATGAACCAAAGCGAGGTAGGAAGAGTATGTCAAGGAGGCGGTACGCCAACATCGAAGCCCGCCCACCTACCGAGCCCAACGTTCCTGGTAGCCCTGAGGCCAGTCGAGAATCCACAGCCCATCCCTTGGCTTCTTCCTTCAGCCCCACGTCCTCGTCAAAGGCTCCGTCAGGGGTAGATGTTCGCGACCCATCGTCTCGTGTCCATTTATGTGCTCTGGAGATCGTCGGCTCGTCGAGGTATTGTTCCAAATAGTCCATCATATCTTGGTCCTCCGACAAGGCTATGCGCTTAAAGGATAAAAATGCAGAAAAACGTGAACTGGAAAAATAAAAACTTACAAAATCCCAAACTAGATGTGGTGAGAAGAAGATAGGCACATTTACATAGGGTCTAAGTGAGGAAGGGTGAAGAAAAAATGACATGTGATTGTGTTGGCCCGTCTGCGTCCAGCGCGCCACATGTAGTGAAAGACAAAGGTGGGATGTATACGCCTCTATGAGACTGATTGCTTGTCCCATCTGACCCGTCTCTTCTTTCCAACACGTCCGCTGGGTGAGCCGCAAAAGTCGAGGGAGCGGAAGAAAGGAACACATGCCTCGCAATCTGCGATGGTATGAGCTCGGGGTATTTATCGGGCGCTCTGTTTGCTCCCTGATGCGAGCCAAATTTTTGACAGGACAGATCGAGGCGAGACTAGAAGTTCTCCTTGCCCCAGACAAACGCGAAGCTTCAAGATGGATTGTTAGCTGGCCGTTCATCACAGCAGTCAATAGAGGAGGCAGGGGCAAATAGGACTTACTCAGGCTCAGTGTACTTGTTGCAAAAGATGTGCAGTGTGCTACCCAGACCCTTGGGACCACAGAAGAAAACACCAGCCTCGGAGGGCGTGTGCAATTTCCTGATACCCCTGAAGATCATGTCCCAGTTGGGCCTGCCGAAGTTGGTCGGCGCACGCAGGCCCGTGATGGCGTCCTTGTCGGCGTTGGCGTCGTTGATCATGATGTTGGTCGCATCGTCGGCCTTGATCTTGGCGGTCAGATAGGCGTGGATCTCGATGCGGTTGTCGACGTCCTGAGCCTCGATGGCCAGCAGCAGAGAACGGAACCACTCGAACGAGCCGAAGTCACGGCAAATCCAGAAGAAGTAAACCTTGCTCAGGCGGGTCTTCTTCTGGGGGTAGTTCATGCGGTACCAGATGGACTTGAGGATGGAGGCGAAAGGCGTGACACCAATACCAGCACCGCAGAGCACGGCGATCTCGTACTTGAACACATCCTCGGAAGCGGAGCCGAAAGGGCCGTCGACGTAGACACGGGGGAGCACGCGCTTCAGAGCGGGGTCGACATCCGGGTTCTCGCCGTTGACACCGACGACGGTGGACGAGCCGCTCTTCTTGTCCCAGTCACAGCCCAGAGCCTTGGAGACGGCACGGGTGAAGTCGCCGACAACACGCATGTGAATCGAGATATAGTCCTCCTCGGGGGCGCTGGTGAGCGTGAACGGGTGGTACTGCCAGACCGAGACCTCGGGGCAGCAGAAGAAGATGTACTGGCCAGCGCGGGTCTTGGTGTGCTCCTTCTTGATCTGGATCTCGCACACGTTGCTGGGGTGCTGGATGACCTTGGAGATGTAGGTGTTGTGCTTGCCGCGAATCTCGCGGGCAACACGCTCGGCCAGGTAGATAAAGCCACCGTACATCCAGAACTGCCAAAAGACGCCGATGGCCGAGGTACCAAAGGACATGCAGAACGGCGCGAAGTCGGGCTGGATCATGCAGAAGGCACCGTGGATAGACCAGAAGAAGAAGAAGACGATGAACATGTGGTGCGTGTACCAGAAGCGTTCATAGTTGGCACGGCGGGGCTTCTCGACCGAGGTGAAGACCATGCCCATCAGCGCGATCAGCATGACATAGCCCGTCCAACCGGGGCCCGAGACAAAGTTGGCGAGGAGCCATCCGTAGATGCCGAGATTGTACTGGGCCGCGACCTGGGCGAAGTTGTTCCAGTGGGCAATCGTGTGGACCCAGCTGAAGAAGACGATAGACCAAGCGGTGGTTATGTGGAAGGTGATATTCTTGTCGAACTGGATGATTCCGTTGAGCGGCGTCTGACGGGCGAGCGAGATGAATGTGCGGCAGACCGGGAAGAGAACCATGGCAACGTCGAAGTGCAGCACCAGAGCAGCGGATCTGGAGGGGCGGGTGTCAGTAGAGATGCCTCTTCGAAAGCGGCGATAGAGTAACTTGCCTGGCAATGGCGAAGGTGGGACCCAGCATGTCTCTGGTCTTCTGTAGACTGTCCTTGACAGCGTAGTTGACGAAGCCAAAGGAGAAAATCAAGGCATGCAAGACCATAAAGACAAAGACGAAACTATGCCGATTGTTAGCTCATACATCCGCCAGGGGCACAAGCACCGGGGCGATCCGTCGACGGCATCCATGTTGCTTTGGAATGGTTGGTGGCGTACAATCGACGGTATCCTTCGTTGACCATCCACCGGTCGAACTTTTCCCTAGGCGTAAGCTCCTTTTGCCTCTCCTGTGTCATCTCGCCCGACAACAACATCCTCGTGAGTGGCGTCCATCTTGCTCGCTCCGACTGCTCCTTCGCGGAGCCATAGCTATCCCGATATCCTGACATGGTGGCTGTCTGCGGATGCTCGGTCGGTTTTCGGTTCGGGTCGATGTTCAATAAAGGTCACAACCCGGACCGCGTGTCCGTCGACAAGTCGCCCCCGTTTCAATAACCCAGTGAAATTTCGTACAAGCCTGACGTCGGTATCGATGCCGGTGGCTTGGAGATTCCTCCTCTTTATCACCTTCCCCGTATCTCACAATATTATCGGGCGTTGGTATTAAACGGTCGTCGCGTTGCAACTAGATGGAATGGGATTCAGAGCCTGCTGAACGGCGTCGTCGAAAGGAGGGTAGCGAAATGGAGAAGCGAGATGGCAGGACGGCTCCGGAAGAGAAAGAAAGGAACAAGAGAAGAAAACAAAATGAGCGCAAATCGTGGCCTGCGAATTTGCCGTGAGCAGGCGGCGTGGGGAACTGTCAGTAAAACAACACGAACACGGAGCACCAAAAGGAGGGAGAGGAGGAAAAAGGAAGCCGGCTGATTTTGGTGGTGGGAGATCGTCCGTGTAAGAAGGAACGGGCGAGGCGCCTGTCCACTGGGCCTCCTAGAAGGGCAATGTGGGGGGGGGGGGGGGCGGGGGACGGGACGGACG